TTTATTTAAAGTAGGCTCCATGCCCGGTGTGGAGCCCAATGCAGGGCTTAAACTCATGACCCTGAGATCAAGACCTGAGCTGAGATCAAGAGTTGGACGATTACCCGACTGAGCCACCCAGGCACCCCTGAAAGGGAATTTAAATTTTATTATTATTTAGAAGGCTTTGCCTTGCTTTTTCTTTTTTATTTTTTTTTAAGAATTTTTTAAAAGTTTATTATTTAGGGAGAGAATGAGTGTGAGCAGGGGGAGGAGCAGAGGGAGAAGGACAAGCAGACTCTGCACTGAGCATGAAGCCTGACTGAGGGCTCGATCTCACAACCCCGAGATCATGACCTGAGCCACAGTCAAAAGTCGGTTGCTCAACTGGCTGAGCCCCCCTGGGCACCACTGTCTTGCTTTTTCTGAATGCTGTATTTGAGTGGGTGGATAAGTAGAGAGAGTTCTAATAATGTAATTATAACTAAGATTTGTGTGTATGTGTGTCCATGTATTTTGAGACCTTCAGTGATAGAGTATCCAAAATTTCAGAGGCAATTTGGTAGTTCTGCCCATGTCCAGCCTATAACACTGTTGATCAACATCTGTCATATGCCAAGTGTTGTGCTAGGCAGAAGGGTTTTTGTGATGAGCATAATACATGGTTCTTGCCATTGTGGAGCTTACAGTCTAGTAGAAAAAATAATTTACAGTTCTGCAAAGTGCTACGAAGAAGTACAGGGTGTTTGTAAGATTGTACATCTGATATTTGAGGTGAGACCTAGAGGATAAATAGGAGTTAGACTGGCAAAGAGATGGTACATGGCCGTGGACACAGTATGCGCACCTGCCCTGAAGAAAGAGAAAACCTGATGGTTTTAAGGAACTGAAAGAAGTCCATTTCGAATGGAGCCTTCCAGTTGGGGGGGGGGCGGGTGTTATGACATGAAGTAGGAAAGGTAAACAGGAAGAGGGTCATTCCCAGCTTTGTAGCTCATGTTTAAAAATCTGGGCTCCTTAGAGTGTTCTTACAACCACTAGAAACCCCATAAGGGCTATAAGCACAGAATGACCTTCAGGTTGCTGTGTGGAAAGAAATGGAGTAGAGGGAGAAGAGATCAGTTAAAATGTTGCTGTAATCCAGGTGAGAGAGAATTTAGGGAAGCCTGGACTAGGATGATGACAATGGGGATGTTAAAATATCATGAGAAGCCAAAAAGTGGAAACAACCCAAATGTCCATTGATGGATAAACAGATGGATAAATTGTGATATATCCATACAATGGAATATTATTCAACCATAAAAAGGGAAAAAGTACTGATAAATGCTACAATGTGAATGAACTTCAAAGACCTTATGCTAACCGAAAAAAGCCAGACACGAAACATCACATGTTATATGATTTCTTTTCTATAATACATCAAAATAGGCAAATCCATAGAGATAGAAAGCAGATGAGTGGTTACCATGGGTTGGGGTGAAGAGAATGGGAAGAGATCATTTAATGGATATGGAGTATTTTCCTGGGGCGATAAAAAGTTTTGAAAGCAGGCAGAGGCAGTGGTTGAACAACCTTGTGAATACACTAAGTGGCACTTAATTGTATACTTTGAGATGATTACTTGTGTGTTAAATTAATTTCACCTCAATAAAGATATCAAGAGATGCTTCATTCATAGTAGCCCCAAAGTGGAAATAACCCAAATGTCCATCAGCTGATGAATGGATTAAAAATGTTGCATATCGGGACACCTGGGTGGCTCAGTCAGTTAGTGTCTGCCTTCGGCTCAGGTCATGATCCCAGGGTCCTGGGATGGAGCCCCGCATCAGGCTCCTTGCTCAGCAGGGCGTCTGCCTCTCCCTCTCCCTCTGCCTGCCGCTGCCCCTGCTTGTGCTCTCTCTCATTCTCTGACAAATAAATAAATAAAATCTTTAAAAAAAAGTTGCATATCCATACAATGAAATATTTTCACCATAAAAAGGAATAAAATACTATTTGACATAATAAAATACATGCTACAACATGGGTGAAACTTGAAATCATTTTTCTAAGTGAAAGAAGCCAGACACAGCCAAATATTGTGTGATTTCATTTATATGAAATGTCCAGAAGAGGCAAACTCATAGAAAGTAGATCAGTGGTTGCCAGGGGCTGGTGTGGGGTTGGAGGGATGGGAGGGAGGAATGGGGAATGATGGCTAATGTGTAAGGGGGAGTTTCTTTTTGATACGATGGAAGTGTTGTGGAATTAGTGGTGATGGTCGCACAATTTTGTGAATATACTAAAAACACTTTAAACAGGTGAATTTCATGGTATGTGAACTACATGTCAATAAAGCTGTTATAAAAAATGTCTTGAGACTATTAAATACACCTTAGATATCTTTTTCTTCTTCAAGATACAGCCCTTACTTCTGTCTTTCTCCATCAAGTTAAGACTACGGCTGCAAGGATGGTCACTAGACTTACTGTGGTGATCATTTCGCATTGTGTGTGCAAATATCGAATCATTATGTTGTACGCCGGAAACTAATATGATGTTATATGTCAATTATACTTCAAACAATAAGAAACCTGGGGTAAAAAAAACAAAACAAAATAAAACCACAAAGACTACAGTTGCAAAAGTAAACTGCTAGCCGGTGTCATTGTCAGATTAAATTCCATATGAGTGAGTAGGGAAAAATCCACCGTGTTGTAAAGGCTGGAAATCGCCTCTAAGGAATGAATGATATCTTCATCTCTTAGTGACGCAGAGATCATTCATTTTGGATAATCACTTCACAATGTGAGTTGAGCCGCCAACAATTTTGCCCTTTATTGTAAGAAAGAAAGAGAAGCAGATAGCTTTTGAGAAAAGCAGACGTGTGTACGGAGCAAGAAAATCTCAGTTAACCAAAATATTCAAGAATTGGTGGTTTTATTTAATTAACTGCAAGGTAACCAAAAATCCTTTTTTATCTTCAATTCTTGATGAACTTTTGTCTATATGTCTGAGTACTTCTTTTTTATAGTATGCCGAATATGATGAATGATCCAGGGATTTGGAAAGCCTCGTGTCTATCAGTTATGAAAATCAGTGCTTATTGTCTAGCCATAGAAGGTATAAGGCTTTTGGATGAATGTACACTGACCCTATACATAAGTGGGTATGGATGTGAGTATGTGTGTGTTTAATCCTCAGTGTTACTTTGAAATCTTGTCATTTGCTTCTTTGCTAAAGCACAGGGAAGGGGAAAATCTGGCTTACTTTAAGATTACTTAGTGAGTGTCTACTATATGATATCACCTCTATTATGCTAGGTACTTTCACATATTATCTCAGTGTATCCTAGTTATCTTTGTGTTCTATTAGGTTATTTCAAAACCTAGTGATTTCATGTGTAAACTATATGTTGTCCTGGGAGTTACGACCATGCTCCCAAATGGTAGGATATCTAAGGAAATGATATTCCTAAGTTATTATATGTTTAATATATGTCAGTATGTCTATCTCCCCAGCCACAAAGACATAAAACATGTTTTTGGAAGATACTAGTAAAATTTGGTACTCTGGAAAAAGATTCTGTGGGTTGAAAGCATTCTGCCCCTTCGCAAGGCTGGTAATTCACATACGTGTAATTGTTAGTCTTCAGACATGAATCAGAGCTGCTGACAGGACGATTGTCCGTTTGTAAGAGGGTGGACGGAAACCTGGCAAAGAGCCCCAGTCCTTTCATCTCCATTACCGTCCGCGCTCGGGCCGTAGTCACATCTTACTCCCAGACATGAAAATTTGTCGCGGCAGTCATTGTCTTAGACCTCAATGTCTCCCCCGACCCTTATCAAAAATATAAAGCTTTTTTGTTGTGCTAAATCAGTACCATTCACTTGATCTGTCTGTTGTGTTTGGAAACTTTTGTTCTCTTAGATCATCACCTGTGTCTGATAACTGTTGTTACTAATATTTATAGCAACAATTCACTGGGCCAGGTATCGTGCTAACTACTTTACATCCAATGTATCATGTATTTATAACCATCTTGTAGAGTTGGTACTTGTATAAGTTAGGATTTTTGGGGGGAGGGGGCTGCAAGCAACACAAAACCCAATACACAACAAGTCAAACAATAAAAGACATTTATTGTTAATGAGGAATCTGGAGATAGGTAAACCGAGTTTGGTTCAATAGATGAGCATTGCTCCAAGGACCTAAGCTCTTTCGGTCCTTCCACTCTGCCATTTTTGATGTGTCAGCGATGTTCCCCTTGTTTTGAAGGTACAGCTACGGTAGTACCCAACGTCATGTCTCGGCAACAGCATCCAGATGAAGAAGCAAGAGGGAAAAAGCAGAGGGGCTTTCTCTTTATTTGTCTCTCTTATCAGAGAGGAAAATCTTTCTCAGAGACTTCTGCCAGATTTCCCCTTTGGCCTCAGTAGCCAGAATTAGGTCACTTGCTTTCCTGTGGACCCTGCAAACCCATCACTAGTTACAGCATGAGACGACTTAGGTCAGTGCAATGCATCCGCTGGGATTAGGGCCACTGTGAGCCAAACAAATGCGGGATTTGTTGTTGTTGCTGCTGTCAGCAAGGAAGAAGAGTGAATTAGCTATTGGGCAAGCAGTCCCTGCCCTTATAGCTTCCCCTATTTCACAGATGAGGAAACGGAGGCTCAGAGAGATTAAGTGAGATAAAACCATAGTGACAAAACCAGGATTCAAACCAGGGCTCTGTCCCCACAGCAGTTTGCTGTCACATTACTTGCTTTAGCCTGGAACTTGCTATGAGGCAGAGCTACTATAGATCATATCAAAAGAGATTTATTACTGAAAGTGTCAGAAAAACTGCTTTCTAACAGTGACTAAATCATAATGAAGTCTCAAAGCCAGGAATCTTTGGACAATGGCAATCCACGGATAACGAGATATGATTAGGTATAGGTTTTGCTGTCGTGCCCTGAAAAAGAGAAAGTAGGTGAGAAAACACACACAAAGAAACATCTAAAAAGAAAGCAAATGTTTATAATCCTGTTTTGCAGGCATCCTCAGTCTTTTCATTCTGCGATTTTCTGCCTGTTGACTTTCCAGAACTGGCCGATTTCTTTCACATGCTTTATACCAGAAGGATCCAAAGGACTCATCAGATGAACAAATTTCAAAGTGCCACTACCAATTTTTTTCTTTAAGAAATGCATCAAGCATCTGATTCGCTGCTGATAAATTCTCTGTAAGTAGCATTATAATTAAGCACACACAAAACCATTCTGTGTTTCCAAGAATACAGCTGGGCTGGCACTGAATTAGCGGTAGGGCATGGGCACCGAGCGGGAGGGTTCCATTGCATCTCAAATACCATGTACCTTCTTTGTGTGAGGACCAAGCCATCTCCGCGCCCCCCCCCCCCGCCCCAACACCCTCTGAATCTCGGGCCATTACCCATTCACCCCGTGTCCGTCACTGAGCTGGTTTATTGGGCACCTTCGCTGGGTCTTGAGACAGGCTGTCCTGCTTCCAAGCGCTGGTCAGAAAAAATGCCAGGAAACCAAAGTGGTGCACCTCTCCCGGCACGACTCCCTTCCACCTGCAGACTGGTAGACCCGGCCCTTGGAAATGAGACAACGGTATGCAGCAAAACTGGGGAAAGAGAGAGGCAGTGAGGGCGTGGGGGTGGCGGGAGAGGGCTGAGTGAGGAGACCAGGCTCCCAAACTTGGCTTCACCAGTGCTGGCCCATGTGGCTTTGGCAAGTTACCTTACCTCCGGCTCCCCAAGCCTCAGTTTCCTCCTGGGTGAAATGGGGAACCACAGCACCTACCTTGAAGACTGTGAGAATTCACAATAATTTATGTAAAACACATGGTATAAAATAAAAGCTCACTATATTATTATATTATATTATATTATGACTACCAGCTCCTTAGTAAACACTGAAGTCTGTTAGCATAGAGAAATGTAGCCTGTGTAGTTACTGTTCTTACGGTTGTTCTTGGATATATACAAGATACATTTGCTTTAATTTCTAATGCATCATAAAGTCCATAACCCTTTGTGGGAAATGCAACATATAGGAAAATGAAAAGCGAGTAGCCTGGGGGTGTTGTGTGTACAAAAGCCAACAGGGGCAACCCCATCTCTCCCTGGCTTCTATGCAAACAGTTTCCTTTACAAATGTGTTTTTGGTATGCAAATCACTCTATGCAGATTTCTGTGTGCAAAATACAACATAGAAAAATGGCCCTCTTGCCAAGGAAATAGGAGATGTTGGCCGCCATCAAATGAATTAGCAGCAAATTTTAGGGTTTTTTTCCTACTGCTCTTTCTAACAATGTATGGGGTGAGTGTATTTTTGGCACATTAAACTGAACTATTTTGGCTTTCGACTGTGTGTTCTTGTGATAAAAGTGCGCTTATGGAAGCCTGTAACTACTTTTTGAAGCCATAATAATGTTTGGTGGTATTTAATTTAGCATTTCGCAACAACGCGCCACCTCCAATTAGTAAAGGTGCTTGTTCGAAAGTCACAGATGGCCTCCCGGCGCAGGTCAGGCTGCTGGTCTCCGTAACTTCCTACTTTTCTGTGAAGATTTGTGCTTATTAACAGATTCAAGTTTATGTTTTGGAAATGTTTTCCTCATAATTAGTGTATGTCTTAGGAAGTGAAAGGAATACATTTAGTATTAAAATCATCCTTTTCTAAGGATGGGAGGATGGGAAGATGGGACGCTAGCTCTTATTTCGCAAGGCAATATTTTACCATCCAGGCAGGTAATAATACACCTTTTTGCTGGTGTTCCTTACGATTTTCAGTCTTTTCCTCTTGGCTCCTCTTGGGAGGAAAAACTTTGTCAGAGGTCACTTGTAACAAAGGGTGTTTTGTTTTTCTCAATCACGCTTAGGGGAAACAGCACCTGTCAGTCAGTGGCCCACCATGCTTGCCCTCTCTCCTCGTCTTCCCTTTCTCTTCCACCCACACCTTTTTGCTAGTTTTGGATGTTTCGTATTTGCCAAATGAGACACTCACTAATTTTACAAAAACAAAGCTTAAATTGAAGACATTTTTCTATTTTTTTTTTAAGATTTTATTTATTTATTTGACAGAGAGAGACACAGCGAGAGAGGGAACACAAGCAGGGGGGGTGGGAGAGGGAGAAGCAGGCTTCCCGTCGAGCAGGGAGCCTGATGCGGGGCTCGAACCCAGGACCTTGGGACCATGACCTGAGCCGAAGGCAGATGCTTAATGACTGAGCCACCCAGGTGTCCCTGGAGGCATTTTTCAAAACAAAGTACCTCATCTGACAAGTTAGCTTTCTTCTATTGGACATCGGGAATGGCTGCAAAAGAGGGAGGAGAATAATAGCATCACTCACTCATTTACTCATTTACGCACGCATGCATTCATTCATTCACCATCATGCTTAGCGCGGGTCAGGCATTACTGAAGGCACAGGAACATAAACTGGAAACTGGTCACAACATTGCGGGGTTCACTGTCCATCAGGGAAAGCAGATGTAGAAACAAACTCACACTGATGTCCCAGCAGAAGTATGTACATCGTACAAAGGTGGGATCATTAGCTCCATCACGCCTGTAGTGAGGAAAGATTTTGGAGGAGTTACATCTATGAGATGTTTTGAAGAACAAATAGGTATCTCCAGGTGGGTAGGGGTGTGTGGGGGGAGAGAGCACCTGAGGCAGAGGGAATAGTAAGTACAAAGGCACAGGGCCCTGAACCAGGAGAGAGGGTGGGGAGGTTTTTCACTGGACAAATTTCTTTGGCCTAAGAACAGAGAACGGGAGAGGGATGGGAAATATTCTCAGTATCTCATGTGTTTGCTTCCCCTTTTGTATTTCTACCCCATGTTAGGTCACCTTATAGCTTGTCCAAACTATTGTCATAGCTTGTAACTGATCTTGTTGCCCTCAGCCTCGTCCCCTACTAACGTAAGAATACGTCAAAAGCCCCTGCAGTGTTCATCCTCGCCCTTGCGCGCGCGCGCACACACACACACACACACACACACACACACCCCACTGTGGGATAAAGTCTGAGCACCTTACCCAGAGCATTTGAGGCTTGTCACGAGTCGACCCCACTCCCTTCCACGCCACTAGCATTGATCGCTTCCTGCTCCACAGGCCCCAAGCCTGGCCTGCCAACTTCCAGCTCCCTCCTTTGCCCATGTCAGTCCCACTGACCAGGCTGTCCGTCCCTCACTGATCTTCACTTCAGTCCTTTAAGATTTAGCTCGGGCGCCCTTTATCGGTGCGGGATTGGCTCCATCATCCTGTCCGCCAGCGTGGTGTCAGGGACTAAACAAAGGCTTTGGGGTCCCAAGATGTGGGCTTCAATCTTGGCTTTGGCTTTAGACAAGCTTCTGAGACTCAGTTTCCCCAACCGTAGAAGATGACTGCCTACCTTGTACTGTTGTTCTCGGATTATTAACAGAGAATGTTTATTAAGTGCCTGACATGCAGCCAGTCCTTGGACATTCAAGCTATTATTATTGTTATACTAATTTAACCTCTTTGTGAAATTCAGGCCCTAGTAACCACCTTTCTAATTTGCTATGAGGATTATACAAACTGATGAGTAGGAAACTCCTGTAAACTGAAAAGCCTTTTAGGTAAAGCTAATTATTATTGGTATCTCTACTAACATATTCATCATTTTTTCATTCATCCATCCACTTATTCATTTAAGATTTATTAAAAATTCCCAATATTTGGTACATCCTGAGCCCAGCATGGGGGATATCAAGATGAATTTGAAATGCTCCCAAAGAGCCTCATGGGAGAATTAGACAGAGAGGCAGTCAAGTCTAAAACCAGGTGGGGAACCCTGTGACCAAGGTAGGTCCTGCAGCATATGGGAAGGCTTAGGGATGAGTTCTAGAACTGTAGCCCCTGTGCTTAGGTCTGGAAGGATGTGGTGAGGGGTAGAAGGGCGTGGAGGGAGCTGGGGGGGTTGAGGGGTGGAGGGAACTGGGAGCTGGGTCAGCCTGCCCGGGTGGGTGTGAGACTGCTTAGGGTGTCGGGGATCTGCAGTGGGGGCTAAGGAGCTGGCTATGGGTTAGAGAGGAGAGTGGGGTGAGGCGGGGTAGACCTAGGGAAATTGTGGCAGGACCAGAGGCCAAACAGGCAACCCTGGCCTGGGGTGAAGGTTCTCCATGCTTGTGTGCAGGGGTGGTACAAAGGGTTCCATGGTCCCAGCCAGGCTGAAAGTTCCTTGAAGGCAGAGATCAGAATCAGTCCCTCTTATTCCGCCACGTTTCTCAGGGCCCGGCCTGTGGGCCATAGTGCTGAGCAGTGAGTCTGAAGGGCGGACCATGATGGGAAGTTCTAAAGGGCAGCAAGGACTGCCACCCCAGCCACCAGCCCAGCTGTGCCCCCTGAGTCCCCAAATCCTCCTTCCTGGCACTGAGTGGCGGGGTGGTGTGTTTTTGCCAAGGAGTTACAACATCCATAATGTCATAATGCAAGTTAACAGGAAAATAGGGTTTGTGTTACAGACTTTCACTTTGAGTCAATTTTGCTGAAATGCATATAGTTACAAACTGAAGGCCAGTCTGCCAAAAGGCTTTCAAGTTGCAGGGAATGATTCCCTGTAACCGTGATTCCCTTTAAAGTCTGCGGGACAAGGCCAACAGCCATGTAGGTGTTAAAATAAACACTAACTTGTTGATCGCAAAACGGGCTATAGGGTACTGTTTATAAATTGGTATAAGTTGCAGGTTAATGACCTTTTTTCCCTTCCATATGTGGAAAAATAAGCACAGAACAGAAACACCCTCTATCCAAATAGGAGGAACCCAGTCAGGTCTGGTACTATGTTACTACCACCCTCTGAAGTAACGTTTTGAAAATAAACACTTGAAAGTCTGCCCTGGATTGTTGTAATCTTATTAATCTAACAAAGAGACGCAGTAACCGCCTCAGCCAGGGGGGTCTGTGTTTACCATGTAATTTGCAACAAGCTGATAAACACACCCCTGCCCCACTTGCAGAAAAGTCTCCTGTTCCCTGCAAGGAAGGGTTGGCAGAAGAAATAGTAATAAAGGATTAGAGACCCAAAAACCATGGTTTAGGTCCTGGGTAAATGTTTGTCATCTCCCTTACTAGCGCCCACCCCACCGGCCTCCCAGCCCCCTGCCATCTTCAAGTTCAGAGGTATGGTATGTCTTTTCTCCTGGCCTTGCCTTCCTAGGGGCTCCGTCATGATGCTTCTGGC